AAGAACGAGAGGAGACAGTAAGCTTCTCATCCACTGTAGTGAGTGGTAGAGTGGAGCTCTCAATAGAGTGCTGGGGTGGACTGGTGGTGGCTGAGAACTAGGCCAGAGGACTGTTGACAGCACCCCAGAGTCCAGAGTCAGAACCAGATGAAACGGAGGATTACTGGAAGGAAGAAAGAGTGTAAGGGTAGAAAACAGTCAATGTATTCCTCAGTATCAGGGATGAGGGATCATTATTGGATGGACAGAGGTAGATGGAAGGGTATGTGTACAATGGTGGATTTAAAACAGGGATCATGTGGAAGGCAAAGCACAGTTTACGTACGTTTTTTATCATTACACACAAGCAAAAAAGATAAAGTTTGAACCTGAACCCTGAAAAAATTTGCATCATACACATACTGATTGCAGATTAATGTCCAAACATCTGCTGAGAGATCATATAAAGAAGACAATCCTCAGAACTTCAGATCTTGCCTCATACTTATCATGTTTAGATGTTTTCGTCACTATCAATAGTTCCCCAAGTGATTCTTGTCTGTACATCCCTGGTTACACCACAAAGAGAAACTGTGCAAATGCAGTGTGACTTTTCTTGGTGCGGATTTACCAAAATACAAAATGTAATCTGATCAGACCAGCAATTATTTTTGTTGTCGGGAAGTGTTATTTGGTTGTGTTTTGCCCTGAACAATCAGCGGTGAGTGACATATCCGTCACGCCAATCCATTTTTTTTTTGCAGTAGGGGCTAGTGGGAGCAGAAAATTCCCTGTTTTTCCACATTGATCAACTAAATATGTCAATAGTTCTGTAAGTCGACTCTGCAACTTGTACAGTCTCATTTTGCTGTTGCGTTTTTCAGGGATGTAGCCTAGCTATCTATTGTTATACAAAGATGATGTCATCCTTAATCCTGCTGACTAATCTCTGATAGGTTGACTGTTTCTCCTGGTAGAAACTGCCTTCAACTGGCTCAATACTTGACCTGCTTTAATCACGGAGCCAATCTTAAATTTGTGTGCAAATCCAGCAGTCTGGAACCAGGCAAATAAATAAATACAAATAAATGGGGCTCAGGTGTAGCCCACACTTGCGTCCATGCTAAAATTAAACTTCATGTTTATGCCAGCCATAGCATGGTCGCCTCCCCAGTGGATTAAATTAAAGATGTGTGTTTTTTAGCCCATTTGTACATTATTAAGCCACAGAATGTCCCATTAAGATGGTTCATACTGTTTATCCCTGGAACACTGACACTCCATTTGTTTGAGGATATTTACTGTGTTGGAAACTGGTGGTCTTGAAAAAACAATTAACAATTTTAGAACATCTAAGAACTGTATAAAATCAGTAGTACCACTGACTCTATGAAAATTATAATATATGGCATTCCCTGAATGTAAGGACTATGCTATAGGTCTGTAAATAATGGAAGTGAAAAGCAAGAAAAAGCACTCAAGGGCTCAGTTGTTAATTGCTAGTGACCATCCGCTGGGTGTCAGAGCTTATAAACCTTTTTATTTAACACTACTGCGGAAATAGAGTGGCAGTAATGGAGGAAGGAAGGAGTAACATAAATATAAACATATAAAAGAGGGCTGGAGAAATAAAATCAATCAATCAAAAGATTTTTGAATATCAGGAATGTAATTGGGAGGAAGGAAGGAAGGAAGAACGGAGGGAGTCTAGCTGAAGTTACAGCCGACAAAAAGTGACAATGCTGCCAACCATCTTGTGGGTGGATCTATCATTCTGTCCGTCTAAATACAGTTTGCTGCTTGCCTCGATCGTTGTTTAAGTTTTAGCTTCATGAGTGAAATAGAAGCCATAGGTTGCAATCCTAAGTTCCTTGTATTAACATATATATTAACAATATATAATATATAACATATCTATAGATCTCAGGTGTGATTATTTATTGATTCTGAAAGCTTTGTGATTTGAACTGTGCGTTATGCTACTGATGAGCCATTTGCCTCACTAAAAGTGAGTGGGAGGCAACACCGTAGCTCGCCACATTCAGTGTAGCTTTATTCCCGACAGAGGCTATAAAGGAAGGAAGAAGGAAGGGAGGGTGAAAAGGAAGAAGGAAAGGTGAATAATGAAGGTGAACTGTACGAAGCTGGGAATTTCCCTCATTCTGTATCATAAATAAAAGATCAAAACATTGTGATTGCACACCCTTTGATACAGTACACTGAGTGCTTAGAATCTGTTATCCACCGCAGTATATAAAGTAAAATGGAAAAGCAGGGAGGGATGAAAGCTACGACGCAGTTTTGGTTGTGACATGTTTACACCGGGAGGAATCGGGCAGCATGTGTGTGTGCGCAAGGGGGAATCATGCGTGCCCTGCTGAGTTTCGCAGTGACACAGGAAGTGGTGATGTAATAGTATACAATCCTAAAGCTTTTTCACACACTCAATGTCTGCCGCTCTGTGTCTCTCACACGCTGATGTGTTTGCCCTTTGGCCACCGTGATATTCCAAGTGCTATAATCATGTGTACGTGGTGGTTGCAGTTTGCGGTCTTTGAGCTCCCTGGTTTAGACAAACGCACACTCACAGACACATTTATGGAGCACGGAGCTTGCAGGCTGAGTGCAATGCCATCTCCCAATGACTTCTTCTTTGATCGGTCGTTTCCTGGGGTTAACCATCCATACTCTATCTACTAAAGCTCCCATTAAATGTTTTCCATCATAATTGCCACTCATTGATTGCTCACTTTCTCTTCTAGTGCCATCTTTCCAGCTTCTTAGCTTTAATCTCTGCTGTCTAAGAAACATGAACGCCCTCTGGGCCTCTCTGTCCATTTTTGATAGCTTACCACTCCACTGGCCTCAGTCTGTTGAATTGCTGAAGTCTGAGCAATGAAAGCTTTAAGGTGTTTTCAGATGGAGTACTATAGGCACAATTTAGAGGCAGTGCACAAAGTCAATGGAAAGAGGGTCCGATTAGACAGAAGGAAGTGTTTTTCTATCACTGAGTAAACTGACAACCGCTGACTATGTTACATATTTATGGATATAACATATTCAGTGCATATCAGTAACAGTATACAACTGATAAACTGTACAACGTACCCAAATAGTGAATGAAATAACAAATAATAAATGTTGAGAGGATTTTCTGATAATTTTAGGGAACTTTTAACACAATTATCTATCTGTATTATGTTTTTTGTTTTTTTAACACATACTTAATAGGCTTCTTTTTTGACAAATTCAGTGTTTGAAATCCTGATATATAGGCCTACTGTGGATTTTTCTTACATTACTTAAAATTAAGAAGACCTTGTGACCCCTCTGTGAAGCTTCTGTGACCCCCCAGTGACATCCAGGTTGGGAACCACTGCTCTATAGTGCACAATAGATTTGGCCATAGAATATTTTACTGATTAACTTTTAAGAGCAACGATATATATGATATATTTATCAGTATGTACTGCCAACACACAAGAAACATGACATATGTAACTACAAATGTTACACTACTACTTTTGACATTTACACATACAATATATATATTTACCATACACTACACCCTACATCGACTATACACATTCAATACTGTATGTTTTTCTCTACTCCCTCATATTGCAGTGAGTTTAGCAGGTGACTGTTAACTGTTAAGAGTTAAAAAATGATTCAGTTAGTCCATGTCTTGGCTATTTACAGCAGCATACTAACATAGAGTGTGTGGGGGAAGACCTGCATTTTAAGGAACAGGAAGCAATCATACACACACATGCACACTCAATCATCACTTGGTCACTTGCCACC